GAAAGAATGAGACTTGAGAGGGGAGAGGAGAGAAACTGTAAGCAAGGAGGAAACAGTTGAAGATTAAAGGTCAAACAAAGTGAAACAGAGACTTGGAGGGGCCAGACCAAGGGAGCAGTGGGTGTGAGGCTGGAAGCTGGTCTCCTGACACCCCAATTCCCGTTCCCCAACCCCTGGGTCCTTGGGGGGGGGGGGTCTGGGACTTTCCCCCTGACTTTTTTTTTTTTTTTTTGCCGTATGTGGCCCTCTCACTGTTGTGGCCTCTCCCATTGTGGAGCACAGGCTCCGGACGAGCAGGCTCAACGGCCATGGCTCCCGGGCCCAGCCGCTCCACGGCATGTGGGATCCTCCCAGACCGGGGCACGAACCCGTATCCCCTGCATCGGCAGGCGGACTCTCAACCACTGCGCCACCAGGGAAGCCCTCCCCATGACTTTTAACTGCCCTTCCTGCCAGGTCTGGGGGTGGAGCATGGGACTGTCTGGGTTTGGATTTCGACTCCATGGAGTAACACAAACCTTTTAAAATCCCACAGCCCCCAGGGACCACAGAGACAAGAGCCAGAGACGAGTCTGCAAGGGGCTGGAGGGGTGGGGGTGGGGCGAAGAGGTGATAAAGATCTGAGACCCGATGGGGGGGGCACTGGCAATGGGAGTACGTTGAGAGGGAGCCTGGAGAGGGGGCTCAAGGCTGAGGAGGAGGAAGGAGGGATTCAGGGGAAGTAGGTGGACCCTGCCGGGCCAGTGGCAGAAAGGGAGGCGCCTCTCCCAGGTGTGGGGAGGGAGATGGGGTTTAGCTGGCCAGATTCCCAGCCAGGGAGCATCCAGAAGGGCTCCTCTCTGCCCTAGGCTGTCTGGGTTTGGCAGAAGAAGGGACAAGATGCCCTTGGTGAAGAAGACATCCATCCCTGCCCCTCCCCCGAATTCCCCAAGGGAAAAGGTGTTGGCTTTGCCCTTCTGAGGCCCCCAGCTGGTCTTGCTCTCCATCCTAAGCAGCTTTCGCTAATAGCATTAAGGGAGGTCTCAGGACTAACCGCTCTCCACTTGGGGTTGAGATCAAGGGGAGAGACCAGAGCCTTCTAATCAGACTGGGGATTTGGCCCAGAGGCGGGGCGGGGATGAGCAGTTTGCTCGACGCTAACAAGCAGAGAATATTACACACACATCCCCCCAGACTGCCATCTCTGTGTTTCCCTCATTGACCCTCAGGGCTGGTTTCTCCACTCTGATCTTTCAGTCTCCCAGGGCTGTATCTGGACCTCACCTGTGTCCACAGCATCCCCGATTTCCGCGATGCTATTTCTCCGTCTCATTCTCTCTGATTCACTCTCTTCCTCGCCGACCCTCTTGCCCTCTTTTTGGCCGCCTTTGAATTTATAAACAGTCCGTTTTCCCACTCATCAATCAAGCAGTCACTGAGAAGACTTCGTTGTGTCCAATCAATCAGATTATGGGGACAATCCACTTTAGCAGCTTAGAAGGGCCAACGACAAAGTGACTTATGATGCAAGTTTCTACTTTGCAGAGAGGCAGCCTTGTCTTGAGCTCTGACCTTTGTTTATCCTGGGCGAGTTCCTGTCCTCCTCACCTCTCTGTATTCCACTCTGCCCATCTGACAGTCCTCTGGCTTCCCCCCGACCCCCACTGTTGATCACTTTTCTGGCCAAGAGCCCACCTCTCAGGTTTAGACTGGAGCACCTCCTTCAGGACCCAGGGCCTCCTAAGCCTTGCCTCTGCTCCCAAGTTTCATCCTCAACTTTTCTGCCCTGATTGACTAATTACAGCTCAGAGCCTGGAGTCAGACCTGTTTGCATCCGGCTCCACCACTAGCCCTGGGATCTTATGCAAGTCTTCTAATCTTTTGAACCTCAATTTCCTCAGCTTGCAAAACAGAGATAATAATACCCACCACGAAGGGCTGTGAAGATTCAATGAAGTAACATAAGAAAAAAACAGTCAAGCCCAATGCTGGATTCGTGATAGGGGCCCAGCTCATATTAACTAAACTCTTAAAACCTAAAATCTGCTTGGGACATTTCTTTTGGCTCCAACATCTAGGTTAAGTCTCTCTTTTTTATCATCGTTATCGCTATTGCTTTACTTAAATAATTACCTAAAACCTACATGTGTTGTAATGAGCGCTTGTGTGGGCCAAGGGGATTAATCCTATTAATAGTAATCAGGGGCTTCCCTGGTGGCGCAGTGGTTGAGAGTCCGCCTGCCGACGCGCGGGACGCAGGTTCGTGCCCCGGTCCGGGAAGATCCCCACATGCCGCGGAGCAGCTGGGCCCGTGAGCCATGGCCGCTGAGCCTGCGTGTCACATTTGGCTTCATATTTTAGATTTTGTTCTTTGAGGGAGCAGGAGAGAGAGAGTTTGGTAGCCTACCTAGGTGGCTCAATATTATAAATTTTGTATTTTGTATTAAGTTCTTGCTTTCCACTCTTTCACTTAAGAGCTGTGTGACCTTAGAGAAGTTAGTCAACCCCTCTGAGCTCCACCTCATCTGATACTTCCTGTGAGGTTCAGGGTGTGTCAATTTCTCAGCACAGTGCAGAGTGCCCTGAGGGTCTGCTCTGCGGTGGGTTTATTGCTCTCTTCTTGCCAGATCCTAAATCTACCCTGAGGTCTCAGACCAGGAAACGTCATCAGATCCAGCAGGAGGCACCACAGCCCTAGGAATTCTATCTGCTTCCTCCAAGGAACAGTCCTCCTTTGGAATCTCTCACCTCTGCTCCCCCTATTTCCCCACCCATTTTCCTAAGATGAGGTAGGAGACATCCCAATCATCTGGAGGTTAGACAAAGGAGGAACTTCCCAATGGACAGAGCAGGAAAGGAAGGTGGGAGAGGAGTAGGGGCATCTGCTTCAGGGGAGGAAAGGAAGGAGAGAAGATTCCAGAATATCAGCTATCAGTTTAGAGACAGATGGATGGGTGGGAAAACCTATTCACCCAGATTCAGAGTGGGCACAGACCTACTCATAGCCCTGTCTGCCTTAATTTCGAGAGATGCTCTCTGCTGGGGCCAGATTGGGTACCCCTGGACACACCTGCCCCCAGCAGGCTGTAGGTTTGTCCACTGGCCCACCTGGAGCTGAGTGTTCCTTGGGAAAAGGAGAGCAAGAGACCCAGTGACCTTTTAGTGTGGGGGGAAGGAGGGCAGGGTTGGAATTCCTTGACTTTTTTATTTTATTTTATTTTATTTTATTTTATTTTATTTTATTTTATAAGCATAGTTGATTTACAATGTTGTGTTAATTGCTGCTGTAGAGCAAAGTGATTCAGTTATACATATATATATATATATATATATATATATTCTTTTTCATATTCTTTTCCATTATGGTTTATCACAGGATATTGAATATAGTTCCCTGTGCTCTACAGTAGGACCTTGTTCTTGGGATTTCTTGGGATTCCTTGGGATTCCTTGACTTTCCAACACCCACAGCTCCTTAATGCTGTTTCCCATGGATTCTTGCTACTCAAAGTACAGCCCATGTACCAGCAGCGCTGGCATCACCTAGGAGCTTGTTAGAATGCAGAATCTTAGGTTACACCAAGTCCCACTGGATTAGAATCTGCATTTCAAAGAGATCCTCAGGTGACTCTGATGCACATTAGAGTTTGAGAAGCACTGCTACAGATGATTTGTTTCAAGTCTTAAGGCAGCACGGTATATGAAAAAGTGCTGTGAATTAGGAGTGGAGGGTGGAACGACCATACACCATTGTCAAGTCGCTTTCCCTCTCTGAGCGTCATCTGGAAAGTGTGGAGGCTACTCCAGATAAGCCCTCACATGCCTCCAGACCTGATGGCCTAATAAGTTCTGGTTGAGAACAGCGCTCGCCTCATGCCAACTGCATCAGAGATGGAAACCCAGAGCCCAGGTGGTGTGAGCCAGTCCCCTGTGCGCAAGTAGTCCGCTGCGCCCAGGGCCCAGCCCCAGGAGCAGACCTCTCATTCTCCCATCCCTCCTCATCCTCTGGCCTATCAGTTCATCTTGCACTAGTGACAGTAGAAGCCAGCTTTTCACACCATCCTCAGTTCCATCTGGAAGGCTTTGTGACTTAGACATTTCCTCTCCTTCCCTCACCTGCATCAGGCAAGTTTATCTTACTAGGGCTCGTTCCCCAGTCTTCCCGCATCTCAATGCCCACCCCCATCCCACCCCCAAGCCAAATTGGGAACCAGCAAGATTCCATCTTCCTTGCCCATGGTTCATTAATTCAACAAATATTTATAGAGCCCCTGTGAGTACAAGGCCCTGGGCTAGGGTGGGTTCCGGGGAGCCAGCAGGGAAGAAGACAGCCAGGGTTCCTGACCACAGGGAGCTGACACTCTGAAGGGGAAGACAGATATTAAACACATAGTGACACCCTTGATAAATTCATCACCATTCATTGACTCTACCAACAATCATTTCTTGAACATCCATGACGTGCCAGGCGCTCTGCTAGGCACTGGAAACTCCTCAGTGAATAAAACGCACAAAAATCCCTCCGCTTCTCAAATGTAAAATTGTTCTAAGTACTATAAAGGTGTGGGTTTGTGTATCTGCCAACTCCTCACACTCAAGGTTTAGAACGAGCCAACGATTAACTACATTTTCACTTGTCTCCTCCTGGGAAAAACCCCTATCCTGTTAAGCCCTGAGAAAAGGTCTCATTGTCTAAATCCCCCAGCGGCGGCAGGACCTAGGACCCTCTGCTTTCCTCCCCATCTATAAAGCGGCTCAGCCTCAAGTCCCAAGCCCTGGGTCAGCCCCTGGCCAGTGAGGAGTTCCCCCGGGGAGGCTGGGCCCAGCCTGGCTAGGGGCGAGCTTCCTGCCTCAGACCCTGCTCCCCCGCCTCAGTCTCCCTTTCCTCCCCTAGTCTCTTCCCTCCTCTCTCTTTCCTTCCTCTTTCACCTCCTTCTCCCCTGCCTTCTTTCGCTTCCTCCTAAGAGGGGACCATTTCCCCCCAAGACCCAGACACAGCTCTTGCCCCCCCGGAGTGGACAATGCACTGCAGCTGCCTGGCTGAGAGCATCCCTGCCATCACCTCCCGTAACTTCTGGATCTCAGGTGAGCCTCCGCCAGGTGTCCCAGCTGTCCTCCAGCAGTACCCCAGAGGCCTCGGGAGCAGTGGGACGGCGCTCACTCCCCTCTCCACCCCAGGCCTGGCCTTCCCCGATTGGGCCTACAAAGCCGAGTCGTCCCCGGGCTCCCGGCAGATCCAGCTATGGCACTTCATCCTGGAGCTGCTGCAGAAGGAGGAGTTCCGCCATGTCATCGCCTGGCAGCAGGGAGAGTACGGGGAGTTTGTCATCAAGGATCCAGACGAGGTGGCCCGGCTCTGGGGCCACAGGAAGTGCAAACCACAGATGAATTATGACAAGCTGAGCCGGGCCCTCAGGTGAGAGGAGGCAGCCAACGTGGCCAGACAGGGCAGAGTTCAAAGAAAAGAGCTGTGGTTTCTGGCACCCCTGTCAGATTCCCGCCCCTCCAAGGCTTGGGAAATGCTCTGGAGTATGGTAAGATGTCCAGTGGTTATCCAGGAACAGCTTGGGGTTTGCCTTGGCAGCCTGGGGACGGGGGATGTGGCTGCGTCTCTGACTGCATCCTCCCTGCCACTGGGCCAACCCTTTATTCTCAACCTTGGAATCTCCAGATATTACTACAATAAGAGGATCCTGCACAAGACCAAAGGCAAAAGGTTCACTTACAAGTTCGACTTTAGCAAGCTCATCGTAGTCAACTACCCTCGGTGGGAGTTGCGGGCACCGCCATCCCTCCACTTGCTGCTGGGGGCCCCTGCTCTGTTTCGACCAGCCCTGGTGCCCATGGGTATACAGAGTGAGGTAGGCATGCAAGCTGGTGCTGTCCCCAGAGCTCCACGAGAACCTGCCTCTCTGCCTCAGGGGCCCCTCAGCTTTCAATGCTCTTCTCCCCCTGCATCCTTAGTCCCTGAGTGCCCCAGGGGTGGGGGTGATACTCTGAATCACCCCTACATATTTAACGATCCCTATAGTAGAGCACCTGCCTATGAGAGAGGGCAACTCCTTCTGTGCCAGGATCACAGGGAAGGGGGTGGCAGGGTCTCAGGGGAGGGTCCAGGACACGTGGGCAGTTCTGACTTAGCAACCATTATGAGATTATTTCATTATTTTAATGACTGGTCATTAAAACAAACAATGTATACTGGGGAATACACGCCAGGGAGGGTCCATTCAACCCCTGAGCCTGCTCTCCTCACTCCCCAGCTCCTGCACAGCAGGCTGTCCACCCATCGGGCCATGGCAGAGCAACTGGCTGGACAGCGGACCCCTCAAGGACCACCAGAGGCCTCCGGGGACAAGAAGGGAAGCGGCAGCATTGTCTACCGTGAGTGCTCAGGACTGGGGAGGGCCCAGGGAATCTTAAGCAGAGGAGGGGAGGATCCTTTTTTTTTTTTTTTTTTTTAACAAGTTTAAACAAAAGTCTTTCAAAACCTTTGCCCTCTGTGGGTAAATGAAATTGCAATGACCCC